CTGGGAAATGGGTAACAGTAATAAGAGCTGGTATTTAGGGGCTGGGGATTTAGCTCACCGGCATAAGCGCCTGCCTTGCAAGCAGGCTGTCGTGAGTTTGATCCCTGGTACCGATAAAAAGGAAAAAGACAAAAAACAAAACAAACAAACAAAAAAAAAACCCAACAAAAACAAAAAAAGAGCTGGTGTTTATTGGGTATTTGGGGGGATTATCCAATAAACAATGATGGCGGTTCTTGGAGTCACAGCCCATGCTTCAACCCTGACTGCACATCTCCAGGGGTCAGCTCCTTGACGGGGAGGGGAAGAGCAGCAATGCCCACATCAAAGGCTCTGAGGGGTGACTTCACCCAGGGAAAGCATTGAGTTTCCCGCACTTCTACAGTGCTCAATGAATGTTATCTTCTATGATTATGTGTCAGGCTCTCTGTGACATACATAACCAGATGGAACTTTTTAACGCAAAGTGTGTGTGTGTGTGTGTGTGTGTGTGTGTACCCGCGCAGGAATGTGTACTCTGTTGACTATTATTCAGGCAGGAAAGAATCTGAGAGGAAACGTAACAAGATGTTAACAATTATCAAACAGATGTATCCTTTTGTGTACTGGGAATGAGAGCCATGGGGTGCTCTACCATGGAGCAACTGTCCCCCTCATTCTTGGCATTCGGTGTGGACTGGACATGTCAGGTGAGTGATTCAAGGTCACCTGTGGTCAGGCATCACCGCCTTGCAGTTAGTGCCTGCAAGGAAATGAGAACAGGGCCAGACTGCAGGCATCAGGAGTCCACCTGCAAAGCCTCTGCTCTTCTGTCTCCATCAGTCCAGCCTTGGTGGCTTAACCAATCAGAGGCTTCTAAACCCAGGATGGTTGCATGTGCTTGTAATCTCAGTACTTGGGAGGCCGAGGCAAGAGGATCCCTGCAAGCTGGAGGCCATCTGGGCTCCGTGGTGGGCTCAAGGTCATGTGAATTGCTTTCCAAATGACCTGACTAGCACAGAGTCCTATATCAGCAATTATAGCAGTACCCAGGCAGGAGAAGCAGGTGTCCCGAGGACAGAGAGCCCAGCTTTTTGGTGTGCTGCCTGGCCGTGTATGAGACCAGGTAGCAGCTGAAGAAACTGTGAGCAACAGACTGCAACCTGCTCGATGAAAGAAGAAACTACAGTGCACATCAGTATCAATGAACAGAGTTCCTTCATAGCGGGAAAGTGTGCCAAACACCACCCCAGACAATGGTCAGAGGACAGACAGGGACGGGACAAGTTGAACTCACACCGTCCTGTGGGATGCACCAAGAATGGAAGTGTCACTTCCATCATGCGTCTGTTCCCCCAAAATACCACCCTACAAAATAACTGGCCTATAATCTCAAAAGACGTGAAGGTCAAGAAAGCCACTGAGAAACTCCACTGTTCTAGACTGTTCTGGTTGTGTCCAGATGCCCCGCAAAGCCTTGTGCTGTCATAGGCTTTTCAAGGGTTCTGGATCTACAGTATGTGATACCGGCATCACGGGTATGTGGTTCCTGAGTTGGTCCTCTAATTGCTGTAGGTATGCCTAACAGGACGGCCCATCCTGGGTACGGGTGCTGTGGGCTACAAGGGTGTAGCCTGGCTAGAATCTGAGAGGCAAAAGTTGGTCACTTGCTGCCTGCTGCTTCACTGATTGCCACCCACTCCTACCATGACAGCTTCTCCTCCGTGATGCTTCTCTGCCAGGCTATCAAGCCTTGGAGGCAGCTGACTACAAACTGAAGCCACCACAAACTGAGCTGAAATAACCCTTCCCTTCTTTAACTTCAGGTATTTTGTCTCAGCCACAAGAAAAGTAACTAAGATACAGATAAAGATACAACCTAGATAGAGCACCTGAAGTCAGCAGGTGACCCTTAACGGCATTCATTTGCCACCCGGACTTTACTGGTATACTCGGCAAAAGCTGCACAGGGCCACGGAGCAGAGGGCAGTCTGCTTCTCTCCACGATTCCTGTCTGTGCTGACACAGAGCTATGACCTGTTCACAGGAATACACACTGAAGAAGTTAGGGCAAACAGTTCTACTGGGCTGGCATTTTATCCTCAAATGGCTCAAGCTGTGAATTTGTAACCTTCATATTTGAGACTGTTCAAAACAAAAACATTTAAAGTACAGTTAATTTCCTTCCCATTTTTTTCTGCTACACGATACAATATGGTTGGAGAATTCCATCAAATTTCTTCTTCAAATAGAATAGAAATTTGTTATTTTATAATTTTAAGATGTATATTTTAACTAAATTAAAACACTATTTTAAGTTTTAAAAGTTACTGAACATACTTTTCTAGATTAAAATTGAGTATTTTAAAGATAGTTTTGTTAGGTCCGCCTCTGCTTGCTAGGCGCCGCCCTTTCTTCTGTGTGCCCAGCATGGGCTGCGAGAGACAGGCACCTCTGCCTACTGGTGCCCCCACCAAGTGGTCATCCTGCAGGCCTAGGAAGTACCTGAGGCCCCACAATTAGCTTGTAGGAAGGAATCCAGGAGAATGTCAAGACAAAGGAGCAAAAGGCAAACTCAGATCTCCAGCCCACACACAGTAAGTCTGGGAGATACAGTCATGGAAGACAAGGAGTCACACACCTGAAACCTCTGAGAGGACAGCAACTGAAATAAGGAAACAACTTCATGAGTTTGTAAAAGCAGTCAAATCAGAAATAATGTCTCAGGTAAAAGAAGAAATCACAAACATACTGAAAGAATTGTTCAGCAAGTCTAAAGAAGACATAGACAATAAAGAGGAGCACAGGAAAATGATGGAAACCTTGAGTGAATGTAGAAAGGACTACAATGCATGAAACAGACTCAAAGAGAGATCCAGGAAATTAAAAATTCAATTGAAAGCTGGAAAAACCACTTGAAAGAAACTGAAGATAGACTTTCAAACCTTGAAGATAGGGTTGCAGTTAATGATTGTGAAAGGAAAGATCTCTTAATAACATGGAATCAGGAAATAACAACTCAATGGCTGCAAGATGACATAAAGAAACATAATTTAAGAGTGATAGGTGTAGGTGAAGAATCAGGGACAACACAAATGAAATTAAAAGGATATTCACAGAGTAACAGAAAACTTCCCAAACATGGGAAATGGATCTGGCACACAGATAAGTGAGGCATATAGGACTCCAACTAGCCATCACCAAAGTAAATCTACACCTAAGACATATAATAAAGATCTCAGAAATTCAGTAAAGGAACAGACTATTAAAAGCTGCTAGAGGAAAGAGACAGATCACCTATAAAAGGAAAACCAATCAGAATCACAGCAAATTTCTCAACACAAACCATCAAGTCAAGAGTTTGGAGTGAAGCGTTTCAAACCCTGAAAGAAAACTTCCACCCCAGACTGATCTACCCAGCAAAACTATCTTTCAAAACTGATGGAAAAATAAGATACTTCCATGATAAAGAACAACTGAAGGAATTCATGACTACCAAAACAATCCAACGGACAGTGCCAAAGGATGTTCTAGAGAGATAAATCTGACCATGGTTCCAGGAACGGCAGCAGAGGAACATCACCAAACAAGACAGGCAACTGAACGAAGGGGAAAAGTGGAGGGCCGACAGCAGGAGGAGAGCAGGGCAGAGACAAACCGTGTGTGCTGGTTGTAACCATTAATGTAGAGGCCTCACGTCAGCAATAAAAAGAAACACAGGGAGAGTGGATCAAGGAACAAGATTCAGGGGCTGGGGATTTAGCTCAGCGGCCTAAGTGCCTGCCTTGCAAGTACGCAGTCATGAGTTTTACCCCCGGTACAACAACAACAACAACAAAAAGAAACAAGATCATTGACATACTGTATACAGAAACACATTTAGCTGGAAAGGAAATTCATAGACTGAAAATCAAAAGAGAGAAAACAATTGTACAATGTGACAGGAGATAAAAAAAAAAAGCAACAACAGCAGAATGGATAAGAAAGGTGCAGATGGCCAGGGATTTAGCTTAGCAACATAAGTGCCTGCCTGGTAGGTGTAAAGTTGTGAGTTCTATCCCGCTACCAAAGGAAAAAAAAAAAAAAAGAAAGGTATGGTATTTTCATGCAGTGGAAAGCTACTCAGCTACAAAGTAAAATAATCTCAAAAATCCTGTAAATAGACGCAACTGGAGATCATGTTCATGGCCAAAACAGTTCAAACTCATGTGTGAAGCCTAGCAGAACAGGTGTAAATGGGATCAAAAGCAAAATAGTTAATGTAAGAGCAAAGGGGAGGAAACACCTGGGAGGGAAAGGTGGAAATCACTGTTAAATTTCTTATTGTCTTGTCTTGAACTCTTGTATTGTTTATACAATTTTGTTAGGTTTGGCTTTGTTCTGTCTGGTTTTGTTAGATTTCATGCTATCAGATGGTAGGGGCAGCTATTTTGAATATAGTGGGATATATTATGGTAATCATGGTTTCCTGGTATATTGCTTTGAAGTCTTATAATGCTTTCATTCATCTATTTGATTGGCTTTATTCTGTTTTGATTTTATTATGTGTGATGGTATGAATAGCTATTTTGAAGGAAACAAGACATTATGGTAGCCATTGTTGATTTACTCTCATCTTGCTAAAAGTCCTACCATGCTTTTGTTCTTCTGAGTTGATTGGTTCTATCCTGTTGTGGTTTATTTGATATTATTATGTGTGATGGTATAACAACTTTTTTGAGGAAACTGAGATATTATAGTAGCTGCTGTTCATTTCCTGTTATTTGGTTCTGAATGCCCTGTAATGCTTTCATTCTTTTGAATGGTTTTACACTATTTTGTTATGTTTGATATTAACGTGTGTGAAGTTATGTTCAACTATTTCAAAGAGACATTATAGTAGCTACTGTTGATATCCAGTTATCTTGTTGTGAAGTGCTGTTGCATTGTTCTGTTCTGATTTGCTTTGTTCTGTTCTTTTGTTTTATTCTCTTTAAAAAATAAAAAAAAAAAAAATAACACATACACCAAACAGACAAATCTGAAAGAATCTACCAAGTGTAATAAATTAGAAGTACATTAACAAGGCTTACAAAGATTCGCAAGTAGAAGTTTCAATTTATGAATTTTCAGTCCTTCTAGGCTCCTCCTGACTTGACAGTCCCTACTCCACAGAGCCTGGCTTACATACAATCTCAGGGACATGAGGCCGAGAGGACCAGTGCTGCCCCTTCCCTCAGCCTGATCCCAGCGGGGGTGGGGAATTGGCCCACTGTGCACCCAGTGGCAGCCCTGATCACGACCTTACTGCTCTCCCGTGACAAAGAGGTGCACATTCCTCTTGGACTGTAGCATCTGCGCGGCCCGCTCCGCGCCTACCACAGCTGCCAAGCGCTGGGCATCATACTTGGCATAGAGAACAGTGCAGGTCCACGTGGCTTCTTCTCCCCTGCTGGTGGCCCGCAGCATGTTACAGATGTCACTGTAGAAGTGAGGGTACGTGGGCAGCTCATAGAAGATCACATTCCGGATGCCCTTGATCGTGTACCTGTCAGGACAGAGCAAAGAGCACTGTGGATCCCAAGCAGTGATTCAGGGGAGTGGCCCAGGCACCTCCTGCTGCAGGGGACAACAGTACACCAACCACAAGAGCATGTTTGTGTGGCAGTGTATTTAACCTCTAATGTCTAGCTTAAGCTAATAAAGTAATTTTACAGCCCTTAAGCCTACCCTGCAAAGGCGGAGGAGGAGGGGGGATAGTCATAGAGCAGAATTAAGAGGAACAGGCATGTACGACCTCATGTCACCCTTATTCTAAGCAGGGAGATCGAGTGCCCTATAACGGAGAAAAGGTCAGGCCCAGGACATAAAATGCACCTGATGAGAACGCATCCCCAATGATTTTTTCCTCGTTGCTCTGTAGACATGCCACACCCCAGCACATGTCCCAGATTCATCTGTCCCCGGGCCCCTGCCTAAGGAGAAAAGTAATTGGCCTCAGTGGCTCAGAAGGCCAGTTCTCGCCCTGCCCTGCTGCACAGGGCGCATGGACCCAAGGACCCACTATAGGGCCTGAGGCCTGGTCAGCTACTCCGTGTGAGCCTCTGCCACCAAAGGCTACATGCCAAGTCAGGGCTCTGGCTTGTCCTGCTAGGCTACTCACACACTGGTGGCTTTATGCTCCGCTGAGAACTTTACTTTATTCATGAAGGATAAGTGTGCCGTGTATTTATCTCATGGTTCATCTTGATCGCTTGAAAACCTCCTCTGACCTCCACAGCAAGAAAGGGAGCGCCATTCTCTGTGGTGCGGTATCCCTTCCTTCCTCCAGCCTGGCCAATTTCAAGCCACAGTGTGTTACTGAGCACAGAATGGGATGATGATGACATCTGATCTCCTAAGCCACCCTAAGGCAGCGTCAGCCTGACTCCAGGACAACCTGAACTCCAGGACTGACAGCCCTGCTAAAGAAAAACAGAACACAGGTCACCACCCCTCTGGCAGAGCGCAACAGAAAGAGGCAGCTCTAGGAATCTGGGCAGGAAGAAAGTAGCTACAAATTCTTAAAAAGTCAAGTACGGGCCTATGACAGCTCAGAATCCCTTGAATCCCTGGCTGCTCTGCAGGAGCCCTTTCTAGGCCTCCACAGACAGCCCTGTAGGGAAGACTGCAGGCAGGCAGGAGACCCTGGAGACCTCATGCCACCAGCGATATGAGTGTCACCGCCCAGCTACTTCTCAGACTTGTATCCTAAGACTCACAGCAAAAGACTCAAGCAGCAGGGAGACAGGCCAACACTCCTGGTCCCAGGGAAAGGTAAAATCCTGATGGGGAAAAGCAGGCAGAAGCAGCAGTCTGCTCCTAAGGGAGGGCAGAATCCACATCCCATCTCTCCCTACTTCTGAACACAAGTGGAACTCAATGGACTTTACACTTATCAAAGAAGCAACAGCGGTCGGTCTGCCCCTCAGGGCAAGAAACTTGCTCAACCCAGGTTCCTACACTAATCCTGGCCCAGGCCTGCCATCTCAGGGGAGAAGCTCGGTGCTTCTTCTCCTCAAGATCCCCAAGGCACACAATGGGCATCAAAGGCGTGGCTCAACCCTGGCAGTGGCTTTGCCCACTGCAAAGCTGGAAGGGAAAGGGCCTTCTCAAGCTGAACAGGAATGGCACCCTCGTCCCAGTGACTCCTCGAGCCTCGCAGGCAGTCACAGCTCTGGGTCTGTTCTAGCATGTGAGTGGCTGAGGTAAAGGCCACCCTGGGCAACACAGTAACTGCGTACCAAATCTTGTCTCAAAAAAACAACAACAACAACAAAAAAACACTCCAAATACTCTAGTCTCTTCCATGAAATGTCACAGTATTTGGGTATAACCTTTGCTTCCACCTATATGCTTTAAATCTCGTCCTGAGCACTTACGCAGCTATTCCTCACTTAATCACCTACCTGTTTAAGGTGTACCATTTAGACTTCTGATGCACCCTTTAGACCTATGACTCATCTTTTTTGGAGGGTGTGATGGTTCTGTACATCTTGTTTATGGAGGCTTAGTGCTGTATACCCTGCTTATACAGTACTATACTTTTTGCTGATTGTATTGTACAGTAGTACTGTAGTTTTACATTACACATTACAGTACTGCATGTTAAGATTTATGCAAATAAAACCAGTCATCAAGTTGGAGTTTCCTTTGACCACTTCTTTGCCCTGAATACTATAATGTACATACAGTATATGATTCTTCACAAAGCAACCAATTTAATTAGTGACCCAGTCACAGGACCAGAATTTGGAATCCGGTCACTAAAGGAGGCAGGTCTATAATCCCCAATACAATGCAAATGCCATCTAAGTAGCTGTTAGTGTATTACGGAATAATGGTAACAAAGTGTTTAAGTTCAGTACAGATGCATTATTCTCAGAATATTTTTCATTTTAATGGTATATATATATATATATATACCAAAATTAAAATTTCATTTTAATGTATTTATTTCTGCAATTGATTGAATCTATGCATCCATGTACACAGAGGGCTGATTTTAACTGCAAACACTGAGAAAACTATTTGTCCATTAAAAGGTAACAAAGTTGGGCCAGGCGTGGTGGCTCATGCCTGTAATCCCAGCACTCAGTAGGCTGAGGCAGGAGGATCACTGCGAGTTCAAGACCAGTCTGGGCTACAAAGTGAGCTCAAGGCCAGTCTGCATAGAGAGACCCTGTCTCAAAAAGACAAAAAAAAAAAAAAGATAACAAAGCTGATGATAGCAAAAGCAAACAACGCAGTAACACAGAAACATCAGACAGGGTGTGGAGGCGCACACCTGTAACCCCAGCATCTGGGAGGCGGAAGCAGGAGAGCACTATAAATTGCAGGCCAGTCTGCACCATGGACACAGTGAGACCTGCCTCATTTCTCTCAAGGAGAGAAGCAGGCTTCTGAAGGTGAATGGTCACAGGGGCACTGGAATCCATGGCAAAAGGTGCTGCTGGGAGACGGGCTGGTCAGAAGGGGAGGGTCATCGGGCTGCACCCCCCCACCTTCCCCTCCCCTCTGCTGCCTGTTTACCAGGAGGCAAATAGCATCCCTTCCCTAGGTCCCTCCCACTGTTCCTGCCCTGCAGCCAGCCAACCATTGCCTGAAACTCAAACCCTATGAGCTGGAATAAATAAATACTGCCCGGGAACATCAGGTATTTTGTCCCAAACAAGACTGTGACTAAGACAAAAGATAAGACATATATATATCTAAAACTTAATATATCTACAATACACAGGTATATATATTTATGCCAAAATATTAACATGTTTGAACTCTTTAATAATAACCACATTTATAATAAAGTGAAAACCATTCCAAGTATACAGCATGATCATAATTTTGGTATTTTTTAAAAAACACCTATAAATATGTATATACATTTATTTTTCACATAGAAAAGAGGGAAAATGGGACCTGGGATTGGTCATCAGTTTGATCAGTACACAAAAAAAAAAAAAAAAAAAAAAAAAAAGAGGAAAAATGCACCTCCCAAAAAACATTTTGTTTTTTTCAGGGCTGGGGATTTAGCTTAGTGACATAAGCACCTGCTTGGTAAGCACAAGGTCATGAGTTCAATCCCTGACACCACCACCCCCCCACAAAAAGAAAGAAAAATATTTTTTTTCACTGTCAAAAAGCCAGGTATCGTGGTACACACCTGTAATTCCAGCTCTCAGAGGGTGAGGCAAGAGTACCATGAGTTTCAATGCAGCTTGGGCTACAAATTAAGACCCTGTTCTCAAAAAATAAAAAGTGAAAAGGCAAGAAGAATATTTATATAAGATTAGGCATGAAATTAGAAGTAATTATGTTTTCCTTTCCATAAATCTAGATTCTTCTAAGTTCTCTAAAATAATTATGTAATATTCGTACAATCAGGAAAAACAAGAAAACTAAAAGAAAAAGAAGGTGGGGGGGGGTATCAGTGTCAGTTTCCCCACAACAGAGAGAGGCACTCTGGAGACAGAGCCTGTGACCAGGGCCTGACCCAGGGCGTCAGCACTGACTCCATATCCGAGCACCCCTTCCCTCTTCTTTCATCTGCCTCCCCCATCCCTCAGACTTACTATGCTTCTGAGCCCTCCCTGGTCCCTGAAAAAGACAGTCTTACACCTCAAATGACCTAAAACTAAGGCTGCTCCAGATGTCTATTTTACCTGCCAACTGTTAAACAACAGTGAAGCACCACAGCTGATGGGAAAGGCTAGTCCTTCACATGGCCTCCAGCCAGAGCTGGGGCTCTTCTCAGGGGCAGAGAACACACAGAAAACCCCACAGCATTGCCAACTCCACACACCCTGCTCCAGATTCAAACCTGCCCCGCTGAGAACCTTCCTGCTACAGCCACGAAGACAGAAGGAGGCTTGGTAGGGCAACCAAGACCCACTCATCCAAGTCCAAAATGCTGCTAGCTTCCTCCTCCCAAAGAAAACAAGTGTTCAGGCTAAAAATTTCTGCTAGCTCAACAATAAATTCTTGCTGGGTGTGGTGGTGTTTGCCTAAAATCCCAGCACTTAGGAGGCTGAGGTAGGAGGATTCTCACAAGCTCCAGGCCAGCCTGGGCTACAAAGCTCAAGGCCACTCTGAACTGCATAGTGGACCCTGTCTCAAAAAGACAGTAAGTTAATTAATTAATTCTCATCTTTCTAACACTATCAACTGTCACAGAGAATATAAAGACAGAATTTCAGAGCCAGGTACTACTGTGAGAAGTAGCTAAGTGGCAGAGTGTTGGCCTAGCATGTGGGAGACCCTGGGTTCTGTCCCCAGCTCTGCAAAAAACAAAAACAGACAAAAAGATACATGCACTTACTTTTTCAAAATCGAATACAAAACCAAATCACAAAGGCACTGAGGACCAAAATGCTCATCATCACCTTGGTGATCGCTCAAGCAAAACATCTGCCAGCTGGAAACCTGGAGCCTTGGGATGCATTTAGAACTCTGAGGCGCTTCCCGTGCTTTCACTCTCTGCAATGGAAGAAACATCTGCTCATGGGTCCAGAGCACAGAGCTATGGCACAGGTTGAGACATGACCCTACAGCCACTTCTGGGAAAGCAGTTTGTACATAAAAAACGGTGTGAGGCAGGGTCCTGGCCTGTCTACGAGAAGCCTCTGCCACCAGGCCCTCTCCCTGAAAAGCTGCTGAGACAGTGGAGTCCCCAGTCCAGCTGCATTCTCACTTAATACAGACAAGCACACTGCGACGCTCTCCATTCCAGCTACTTCACATAAAGGGCTTGCTTTAATTGTCGGGCTGACAGAAAACTATGGGCTTTTAAGACTTAGTGAGTACAACTGCCCCTAAGTACTTCCAACATGAACGGGAACAACGCACTAGAACAAGGTAAATGATGATGCCAACAAGCAGGCACTCAGTAACATTCTCTGGCCAAGCAGGTCTGCCTGCCAAGAATGGAGCTGAGAAACAAATTTAACTAATTCTCAGCTCTCCACGCAGAACACCTGAAGGGGTCAGGTCATGCCACCCCTGCTGCGCCCAAGGAGGCTGCCAGTCTTCCTAGCCTAACATCAGCACAAAAAGGCCTGCAATGCAACACCATCTAACATGCTCAAGGGTAGAGGACTTCTGGCTTTAGCTGCTCGGAAGTCTTAGACAAAACGTCCTTCCACCCCCCCGCCATTAGTATACATGACTTCAAGTTAATATAACAGTGAAATCAAAGCTTAAATTCTCTGGATCTTACGGTGAAACCAGGAAGAAAGAAATACAGTAAGTCCTGACTTAACAACATTTGAGTTGTGAACTTTCACAGACGTAAATGGATTTTGTATTTGGCTTTTTTATGCTTTATGTTACATATCTGGGTCAAAGACCTATTAAGACTCTCTTTGTCAGACTTATGAACAAATGTACCTTATGAATGTTCTCCTGGAATGGAATGCATTCCAAAGTCAAGCAGAATAGAGTCTCCATCTCTCTGTGTTAGAGTTAAATAGGTTTTTCTATTTGTTAGCAGATACTTACAAAACAGTATCTAAGGTCCAGGCACACAAATGGCTGCAGCTAACACAAAACAGTAAATAAAGGAAAGCTAGTGTTACTATCTAATTAGAACATTAAAACTAATAACAAAAAGGCCAATGGACTTGTTTTGTCATCACCCTTCCCTTTTTGCCTCCTACTACCATCACAGGCCCCAGGGAGAAGTTACCATGCACACCCCTCCTCGTACTGCCTCTGAATCTAGCATTGTGCTCAGCCTCTGGCCCCCACATTACACAGCCCCTGAGGCTCCTGCAGTGACAAGGTCTTCCCCTACCTGTATTAAGTTAAGTTGTCCCTGTCTTGAGCTAGTCCATTATGTAACATTTAGCTTGTAATACACAACCACAGCTGCACTCCGGAACTGTACCAGATTATGCTTTTGTTATGCAACCATCCCAGAAATTCTCATTTTGAGAAGAAGTCAACTGACAGATCAACAACAATCTGTCCTGCCCAAAAAACACTTAAGGCAGGGACACAATAGGAAGTTAATAAAACAGCAAAGACCCAGTGTATCAGAAAGGAAATGAGAATCAGGAAGCAGGGTGAGAATTTCCAAGGAGCAGCTCTGTCGTGTTTGGGAAGCAGGCAGGTTTGAAGCTGCAAGAACGTTCAGGGAGAGGCAAGGTCACATAGCAGGGATGACTCACGGCTCCGCAGAGCCTGCTGGGCCCTTGGACATGGCCGTGACTCACACGGCACCCCGCTCCAGACAGCAGGCCGAGGCTGGACTACATTACCTCTTGTAGAAGTGGAAGCGCTCTGTGAGGAGCAGAAACTGCTTCTCTCCCCGGAGGAAGAAGTGTCTGGCCCTGGAGACAGCAGACTTCTGGGTGTACTCGCAGATGTGGGTGAAGTTCAACTCCTCTTTCTTGAAGTAATTTCGCAGACGCACGTAGTCAAAGTAGGACGGGACATAGATAAGAGTGTGGGACATGACGGCATCTCGGTACTGAGGCAAAATCTTGTTTATGAAGAAGTTAAACCTGATTTGGAAAGGCAAGTGGCAAGGTCAATGGTCCAGAGCTGAACAAGAAAAAACAGCCTGGAGTTGAGTCGTGCTGATCAACAACTGTAACACCAGGCAAATCACAACCTCTGTCGTTAGATCAACTCAAGGCTAGGGACTTGCTTTCTCTCAAAAAGATTAGGTGAAGGTAAGACCTGATGTGGACAGCCAAAAGTTAAGTGCTAAAGCCCACTTTGATAGCGTACACCTATAATCCCAGCACTTGGGTGGCTGAGGCAGGACTCTTATGAGCTCAAGACTAGCCTGGGCTACAATGTGAGATCAAGGCCAGCCTAAACTGCACTGCAAAACCCTGTCTCAAGAAAAAAAAAAGACCCTGTCTCCAAAAATAAATAAATAAAAGCTAACACTTACTGCAAAAAAACAAATGAACTCTGGTCCATCACTAAAAAATAATCATCAAGCCTCTCCTGTGGGCTAAGCACCATTATGCTAACTAAACCCAAGGAGGAAAAAAAGAGGAAATACACATACCAAATTAGAAAAACAGGTGCTGTGCTGGGGATTTAGCTCAGTGGCATAAGTGCCTGCCTGGCAAATGTGAGGTTGTAAGTTCAATCCCGGTACCAAAAAAAAAAGAAACACAGGTGCTGCCCTGTGGGCTTTTACCATGAAGCTGCTGACTTGTGACACATGTAGTACACAGCAGTGTGTCATGATGCAGGGCCGCAAACAGCAGGGGAGTGAGTGCTGACTCGCACACCTAGGAGACCTAGGCCAAGCCATCACTCCACTTTAACCTCAGCTTCTTCCTGTCAGACCAAGGATCTCAACTGATCTGCGAAGGGAACAGTTCTAAGCCTATGCCAAACATAGCTCTCCTGACAACCCATGGAGCTCAACAGAAGGCTGCGCACCTGCTGTCAATCACTGCGGCCAGGCTCTCGGCGCCCATCCTCTGGAAGACGTGTGGAAGCTGCACCAGCACCTGACTGATGGAGCCTGTCCTGGGGACATTGCGCACGGCCACCTAGCAGGGATCAAGGAGAACGGCACCATGGTCTGTCTCAAGACCACAGCACTCTGCTTCATGAGGAGCCAGGGGACACAATGGAACACCCACCTGGCCCTGTAGGTTGACGCAGTACTTGTTGAACACTGAGTTGATCTGGGCATCCTGCAGGGCCCCAAACAGCAGTGTCTGGCGGTAGTACTTGGTCCAATTATTGAGGCTCCACATCCGTACTCGAGAAAAATCAACTCCATGTGAATCCAGGGGCAACAGGTTCATATGGTTCATCAGATGCTATGAGCAAAGAGAAGGCCACTCTAATGTGTACTGGAACATATGTGCAGGGCAGTGCTGAGCACTTCACAAACCTAGCATCTCTTCTGGCCCCACAGGGAGGATACACCCCACTTGCACCAAGAAACCTGAGGCTCACCGGGTAAACAAGAAAACTGAAACTGGCCACCTCCTAGAACTCCAGAGAACTATCAAAGTGGTACTTAGTGGAATACTGCCTTCAAGATATTTCCGAAACACCATCCTGGTCACTTTATGGGCTCTGCAGTCCTGCACTTGGACAAAAAAGGTACTGTCCTTCAGTGACCAAGCAGTGATTTAAACCTACAGTGCCCCCAAAGTCTCGGGTGTATGGCACATGGATTATGGGGGCATTACACTGATTGTTAGGAGCTGTGTGCCTGAGGCCTGGCCCAGGTGTCTCCCTCACAGCTCCTCCCTCCACGCTGTTTCCTGTCCACCAGTAGGCAAGAAGTTCTCCCCTTCATGGGTCCCTGCCCAGACTGTAGATGGCTGACTATGCACTGAAACCTCTGTAAACTGAGCCAAAATGAACCTCTTCCCTTCGGAGCTGTGGGAGTCAGATATTGGAGCTTATCAGCAAGAATTACTGACACCCACCTCTTAAAATACCAGTGGCCCACAACTGCTTTTCCTCAAATTAAGAATAACTACTCACATGCCCTTTCCATTTAGACACAGTTTCAACTGGCATATATCAAAGACTCAAGGGCACTAAAAGTTTATTCCCTACTTTAGAAATATGTACTACCTACCCTTTATGTGCCCCCAAATGCCTGAAGCATAGAAGGCCTATAGCTGTACAATGAGTTCTCATTTGAAAAAAGAGAAAAAGCCCTGTTTGATAAGAACATTCTAGGAGCTGAGGATTTAGCTCAGCGGCATAAGCGCCTGCCTTGCAAGCAGGCAGTTGTGAGTTCAATCCCTGGTACTGATAAAAAGGGAAAAGGAAAAAGACAAAAAAAAAAAAAAAAAAAAAAAAAAAAAAAAAGATAAGGACATTCTAAAGCAGTTTTCAATCCTAAAGCCAAAAAATTGCAGAGTTGAGGAAAAAATATAGTAAGAGGATAAAGCTGTCTCATAAAAAATGATGCCACATTAAAAAACCTTAGGTGATGATTCTCTACCTCCACTGAAAACAGAATGAGCATGAAGCCTATGAGGAAGTAAGGTAGAGATGTTCCCAGTGAGGATTTTCATCCATCCACTCACAGAGGCCTTAAGAGAAGAAGGCTTTTCTGGAGATTTGAAAAAACCGTAAAGAACTTTTACATCTCTATATAGTTTAAGTACTGATTGATCTGTGGGCACAGGAAAAGACAAAAGAATTTTTAAATTGGAAAATGTAGACTATTTTGGTTTCCAATCCAAAATGAATTCTAATTTGGACTTAGAACCTTTCCAGACTAGTCCAGGGCACTTCTTGTTTCTCTGCATGTGAATAACCAGGATTACCAGGACATGCTCCCAATTCTGCATCAGGTAAATGTCAGCTTGATCGATGATGAGCAGCTCAATAGAAGACAGAAAGTCGAAGTCTCTCTTCTTCTCTCCTTCTCCACCGATGATGGTCCTCAAGCCCAGAGGGGAGGCAATGAGGATGTCGGAGGAGTAGAAGGGGGCGTAGAGCCGGATGCTCCTCTGCAGAATGGCCACACCTGCACGGAGTGCACAGTGGGCACCGGCTACTGGCTCGGCACTTCTGCCCTCTCTAAGCAGCCCCTCCTGCCCCTTCCCCATCGCCCTGCCCCTTGGCATTTAACTCTGCTCAAGTGTTTTAGGTATTAACACAGTCACAGCCCTTTTTCACCTACAGTCCCCTCTTAGCCCCTCCTTTCACCTCCTTTCCTTCCTGAGTTGTCACAGCTTTCAAATCTCCCATTCACTTTTCTCGCTTCCAATGGACTTCATTGGCAAAAGAACTCTAATTTCTAACTGTAACTCTATTCCACTTAACACCCCAGCACTCAGCAGATAACCAATGTCTGTGAATTAGCACACATGACTAGTGAACTTTCAAGGTGCAACTAGGTCAGCGGGAGCTGAATAAGCAACTAGCAGAAATCCGATAAGCCAGAGGAGAGCCTTAGTGCAGCAAGGTGCCACTCTGGGACCTGGCCGGCATCTAGGCAGCAGAAATCTAGCTTTGTGAACAGGCCCTTAGGAACCTGTCCCACCTTGTCATCCCTATCTTCCCCCAGAGCGCTACACAGCACCTCCTGAAACCCACTGGACAGTCACTTTAGGAAATGTGCAGCACATCTTCCCCTGGCCCTAGAGGCTCCAAAAGCACAGCCTATGCAAGATTCTCCCCTGGCAAAGAGGTGGCAACCTCAGCAGCTCTTTGGGAAATGCTGTTTTCCAGATTCCAGGCTCCAAACACACTGTGGATCCCACACACCCCAATTCTGACAAGGAGGAATTACCGATCCTGAAGTGGTCATCAATGTTACCCACGAACACAGCCTCATAGTCCTCAGGCCTCTTCAGGTTGGGTGGTCTCTCCTCGGGATCCGACCCGTATTCACTCTGAAATCTCTTCTTGTTGCTCACAATGATTTTTTTCTTGCTGTCACCTTCCAGGAGGCTGATGAAGAGCTGTACCACACGCAGAGCAGCCTCCCGGAACGGCACCACTATCAGTACCTGTGCAGAGGCAATGGCAGCCTGGGTAGGGTCAGGAGGAAATGGCAAACCAGGGGCACTGGTGAAGAAGTGGGGCTCTGAGCCTATGTGGAATGTCCTGGCAAGCACTGTGCCTATGTCACCCACTTTGTACAGGGCCCCCAGCTCAGTACAAGCAAAAGGTCCTCTGGATTTTGGGCCCATAGCTCACAGAGTACACAGGCCAAAATTTAAGGACAAGCAGTAATGTCTTTGAAGGCAAGGAGTGTTTACTCATTTGTGTCCCACAGAGCTGAGTATCACATTTTTATCCAGGAGACACACACAATAAATTTATGCCAATAAATGCAGTAAAGAAAAACTAAAGAGGCTATCTTCATGACTGTCTGCCCTGTGTCCGCAGGGTATACATCTATTTTGCTTTTTTCCTTTACTTGGCCCAAGCTAGCTCTGCAGAGCCAGTTCCTCTCTGATTCTTCACTTTTTCAAAGAAACTGTCACCATTAAAAAAAAGATTAAAACATCATTGCTTTTCTAGTACATATTCTAGGATCTAGTCAGAAATGATCATAAAGCATTAGTAAAATGGGGCCAGAATTCAATGGAAAAAATAGGACTGTCTTCCAAGCTTTTCAAAAATGCTTAAAGTTACAGCTGAGCCCCAAAAGAGAAGATGCTTAACGAATAGTTCATCTCTATCACTCTAAAGCAATGGACAAAATCTCAGGCAAAGCATGCAATTTAGCAAACTATAAATACACTTCACATATAATGTCTTAGTCTCTTATGCAATGCTAAATGAAACAGAGAACCTTGATAATCTGATGTTCAAAGGTACAAACTCCTTATGTTATTGTTTTATATATCAAGAATGTACCAATAAAGTTTAAAAAGCAAATATGACAAAGAAAGTCCACCTAGCTCTAAGCACTGAGATCTGTGCAGTGTTCGTTTAGTTATACTGTGTGTGCATCCTTAACGCAAGTACCCTGCATAACCATTTAGTTTCTCCACTGTCAGAAATCATCCCATGCTGCTGGCAGCACTGTCTGATTCTGCCTGGCCCTTGTAACGTGCTCGATTTGGGTTCATTCATCGTTCTGGCCAATTACTGACACCAGCAGCCTCTCCTCATGGCACCTTCCGGCTGTAACTCACCTTGGGCCTCGTCAGCCCCTGGTCCCTGAAGCCGTCGTCATCGCACAGCCCAGGCTTTTGGCCTCGGCGCAGGCTGTTGTTGCTGAGCACCTGGGCGTTGGCCTTGAGCACATGGTTGAGCACATGCAGGCAGTACACGCAGCGGACCTCCTCCCCGTTCCTCAGGGCAGTCCTTTCAGGGTAGAACAGGTCCCGGTAGGAATTCATAACTAAGAAGAGCTCTTTCTGGAGTGGGGTGAAAGGGCTGTTTGATTTTGGGGGACCAGACAAAAACTGGCTGTTGGTCTTACTCCAGGTGGAGTCCAGTGGCTTGTGAAGATGAAGTGACTTCAGGTCAATATCTTTTGGAGGTTTAAATGTTTCCACCTCCTGAAACCTGGATGAAAAGACAACCTGGCCCATGACAGGCCACTAGGGAGACAGATGAAGAACTGAGTTAGAAGTGAATCACAACACCTGACATTCACCAGTCATTTACACAAGCGAGTTAGCACCATTTTTCACCATTTATACAGCCTCTCATTCAACCCTTGCCAGGAACCTTGCAAGGCAGGTACTGCAAAGCTCCTGTTACAGAACGGAAAGGAACACAAGGTCAGAGAGGCAGAGGGTCCTAGAACAAGGATGCAGGCAACGCAGGCCAGAGTCCAGCCTGCTGGCTTCAAATATGAGCTCTAGCTAGGCATGGTGTCACATACCAGTCATCCTGGCCCTAGGAAGACGGAGGCAAGAGGATCACTATGCGTTCGAGGCCAACCTGGGCTACACAGTGAGTTCAAGACTAGCCTGAACAGCATAGCAAGACCCTGTCTCAAAAAAACCCCACATGTTGTATGGAGGACACTCTGGGCATCTACATTCAGTCTAGAAGAACAGTGCTTCTACGGTCAGGTGACCAGTGCCTCTCCTAGCCGCATCTACATTCCATCAGGAGCTTCCTTCTAGAATGTGTGCTTTTCCCATTCCTGTGTCCCACTTCCTTAGTAAACCATCTCCTACTAGTGCACACAGCACACAGTCGAAACCAAAGACCACTATTTCATTTAGACTTTTCTCCAAGCAACACTTACTTTTAGCTGATGAGTCGTTTTGGGGCTTGCTGGAAGCACCTGAATCTCTTTTTCTTTCAGTTCTTTGTTCACATGCAGTACAAATGGATCTAATTCAGAAACAGAGATTGGCACTTAGCACTAATGGCAGGGGTTCTCTGGTCTTCCACAGGGATGGCACACCTATCTGCATAGGGCCAACACATCCTTCCCATCCACTTTCCCTATCCATACCTTAAAATTTCAGGCAGGCTGATTTTCCCAAAACAGTTCTCTAAATATTACTTCAGACCCAAAAGCCTTTGGAGAAACATCTCAGCTGCAGGGCACTCCAGGATGCACCTTCAACCTGTCTCGGCTGTGTAATCCAGATCTGAACTATTAATCCTCAAACTCTCTTCCCTCTAGGCTTCCCCTGCCATTGGCATAGCTTCCAGCCTCTTTTACCTCATTTCGGCACTTCTAAGTATTATCAGTGTAACGTCAACCTGACTCACAGCAAATCCCCCTACTGGAAGGGCAGTGCTGGCCTCCTTAGAAGCCTATCTCCTTGTAAGTTCCCACCTGTCTCCCCTACCGTCCCAACACAAATATGCGCAAGTCTCATCTCTTCTAGTAGATGCAAGTTCCCCAAAGGCAGGTCCCATGTCCCACTGATCTTGCACTGAAAAATGTTACGGCTGAGATCTAAACTGTTCCAAGCCCTGAGAAGAGCTTCTGGAAGGTGACTGGATCACAAGGACCTCTGAACTCAGCAGCTGAATGTGCTAAGCGGTGGCTCTAGTTAGAGGTGGGCCTCTGGGGGTGTGCCCTGGAAGGGCACATCTCCCTCCCTGGCTTCTCCTTTCTCTCCAGGCTTCCTGAAGCAACTTTCCTCTGCCTGGCCCTCCCACCACACTGATTCAGCATCTGCACCAACCATGGATTACAACTCCTGAAACTGGGAGACAAGACAAAGCTCTTCTTCATGTAACAGGTACTAGAAATTTTGCTCCAATGACAGAAAAGTGACTAAGACAAGACACATTGGGGGCCAGGGATTTAGCTCAGTGGTGTAAATGCCTAGCTGGCGAGTGTGACAGTGACATTGTGAGTTTGATCCCTGGTACCAAAAAAAAAGACACATTGGGGTGGAAATGGTGGTGCATGCCTATAATCCCAGCACTTTGGAGGCTGAGGCAGAAGGGTCACTGTGAGCTCAAGGCCAGTCTGGGCTACATGAGTTCAAGGCCAGCTCAAACTACATAGCACGACTCTATCTCACACACATCTGTAATCCCAGCACTTGGAAGGATGAGGCAAGAGGATCACTGTGAGTTCCAGGCCAGCCTGGACTACAAAGTTAGATGACTCATTCAAGTACACCAAAGGCTAAACTTACAATGAAATGTACCTTGTACTAGATACCAAAGAGCAAACAACACAATAAAATTCTAAGGGCCTTTTTTCTATATGGGCAAATAGCCAAATTTCTGACAGTAGGCTTCCTGATGTTTGCTCCAGGCTTTCCAAGTCTTGATGAGGTTTATGCTACATTCTACAAATCCTACTCACTCCTCCTTTTCTTATGCAACAGCCAATGGAAGCAAATGACTCAAATAAGGGGTCACAGGAACTGAAAAGGGTACTAGCAACAGGAACGCTAATTGGGACAGAGAACAAGCCTGGTCTAACTTGGTCCACCAAAGAGAACCACTCCACGCAAGCACAGTGCCCATAGGCCTTGTGCAACTATCAGCATTTGGTCTCTGGCACCGTGAACAGACTGTGGCAGGCATGGAACAAGGAGGTGCTCAGCTTCAGAAGCTGTCCCTGAAAGTGAGGATTACTAGGACTTGGGTACTGATTCCGGTCTCAAAAATCTGAAGAATTAGTGCTCCACTGAGGAAGAATATGTACAGCAAAAAAAAAAAAAAAAAAATGTGCGAAGTATCTTCCCCTTTCTCTTCCTGTGAGAGAAAATCTGAAGCCTTCCTAGGCCCAATTCTTGCGCTGTGAGGCCTGAAGAGCTATGCCCCTTCTACCCTCCTTCCACAGGCCATCCTCTCCACACTAAGCCTTACCCCAGCTCCCACGCCACTGAAGGATACCAATGTCCTAAGAAGTATCTTTCCCAACTCTGGGTCCAGCCACTGAATGATATCCTACTGCTGCATACTCAACAACAGGAAACCAAATGTACATCAGAGTGTCACCGATGAAGCACCTGCAGGACTCAAACAGCACCTTGTGACACCTTCAGAGAGGAGCCGGCTCCACCCTCCTCCTCAAGAAAATTAGACTCCAGGCTGAAGAGCGACTCGTGCTTTGCATCTATGAACTCAGCTGGGGACTTCTGCGATGATCCAGCTGGACACTCTTCTCCATCGTTTCCCTCAGGGTCACCAGATGAGGCCGCATCTGCAATTTGGAGAAACATCTCATCAAATTATCTTCTGTTGACAAAATCAAATACTTTGGCTTATGCCAAAACTGATGTTTAGGGCTATCATTTACTTTTAGATAATAAACAATTCAGGTGGAAGACACAGATTTCAACAGCAAGCCTGACCATTCTTATTGCTGGCCCAGTGTGAGTGCTAATTTGGTCACCTTAGGTGGGCCACGGTGCCTGGACATTTGATTAAATATGTGGAATATTTCTATGCCAGTGCTTTTTTGTTTTGTTTCTATTGTAGAGAATTAACCCAAGACCTCACACAGAGACAAGCACTCTACCACTAAGCTACAACCCACTCCTTTTTACTGTCAGACAGGGTCTTACAAAGTAGCTAAATTACCCATGCTAGGCTGGAACTTATGGTCCTCCTGCTTCAGCCTCCTGAGAAGCTGGGACTATAGGGGTGTACTACTACAGCAGGCTTGCAGGGCGTGCTTTGAGATGAGATTTACATTTAAATTGGAAGACCATGAATAAAGCAGATTCTTTTCCTTAATGTGGCTGAGATGTGGCTGAGCCTCATCCAATCAACTAAAGGCCCCAAGAGAACAAGAGAAGGCTGTTCTCCCTGAGCACAAGAGCCCTTCCAGCACAACACCACACCGCTGAGCTCCAGCTGTAGCACACAGCTCTCCCTGGGGCTCTGCCTGCCGTGGGACCTGAGTCTTCAGCCTGCCTGCCTCCTCCATCACTGTTTTTGGACTTGCCAAGTCTCTATAATCACATGAGTCAACCTCTTAAACATATTTCATTTCATATGTATGTATTTTAATTACTTTTGTTTCTCTAGGAAACTCTAATACACCTCGTTTCAGGTCTAGGAACTTATTCTAATATGATACACCAAGATGTCCGTGAAAGGATGTCCATAGCAGCACTAATTATAAGGAATAACTGCAGGAAAAAATGAGCCAGAGATGGTGGTACACTCCTGAAATCCTAGCATTTGGAGACTGAGGCAGAAAGATTGCCACAAATTCAAAGCCAGCCTGGACTATTTAGCGAGTTCAAAACTAGCCTGAACTCAAAGAAAAACAAAAAGTGAAATGCCTATCAATGGGATATTAAATAAATCATCACAAATCATTTACAATTGAATACTACATAATTAAGAAGCTAATGTAAGGCAAGCATGGTGGTACATCCCCATCATCCCAGCACTCAGGAGGCTGAGGCAGGAGGATTGCTGCAAGTTCAAGGCCAATTCGGGTTACAGAGTTCAAGGCCAGCCTGAAGTGCAGACAAAAAAAAAAAAAAAACCAAAACAAACAAACAAACAAAACCCACCCCCCCAAAACCCTAATGTAAGCCAGATGTAGTGGCACATGCACATAATCCCATCTTTAGGAGGCTAAGGAAGCAGGATTACCATGAGTTTAAAGCCAGCCTGAACCACACAGCAAGACTCTGCCTCAAAAAACAAACAAAACAAAACTGTTCCCTCAACAGGGATAATGTGAATACACAGCTATATTATAGACATAGAAAAAGATCTTGGCATATGGCTAAAGAAAAAAGAAGCCAGGTATGGTGGCATTGCAGCTTCAGGTCTGAGGGTGAGATAGGAGGATCACCAAGAGTCCAAGGCCAGCCTGGATTATACAAGTGAACTGAAGGCCAGCCTGAACAGAAGAGATCCTCTCAAATAAATAAATAAATAGACAGATAGTTATAGAAATGTAAAATCATTATACACACGTGCACAACACACATCCATAAAAATACGGGTTGGAAAAGTTATATACAACGTCAAAAATGTTGGTAAGTCTCTGAATGGTGGTAATACAGGTTAATCATAATTCTCTGTTTAAATTTTTGTTGTACATATGTATTGCTTTTATAATAAAAAAAAGTCACCATTTTAGGGCTGGGGGTTTAACTTAGCAGCATAAGCACCTGCCTTGGCAAGCACACAGACGTGAGTTTGATCCCTAGTACCAAAAAGAAAAACTTACCATTTTAAAAAATACAAAAAAGCAATGAAAACCAGCTGAAACCCAAAAGACCCACAAACAAATCCTAAATCAGAAGCAATGAAAATTTATGCCAATAAAACTAGTCAATTAAAATACTAATTTTATGCCAATAAAACTGATCAATTAAAATACTAAGGATAACATGTGATAAAGTACAAAAAAAAAAAGGGAGGCAAACAGGCATGTAAGGAAAACAGACATGAAAACAGTAAAGCATAATAATCCATAGTGGGGCTGGGGATTTAGCTCAGCGGCATAAGCACCTGCCTTGCAAGTGCACAGTCGTGAGTTCATCAATCCCCGGTACAAAAAAAAAAAAAAAGTTAAAAAAAATCCATAGTGACAGAAATCAGGTCAGTGTTTGCCTGAGGTTGAGGATGGGACCCAATAGTTTCAACATCTCATCTCTACTCCAAGCAAATGTATTTCTATTGCCCATCAAATATGGTCTTCCTATGGCAGGAGTAGTAACCGCTTCAATAAAGTGACACGTTATGTTTTTCCTGTGTCAGGGACTTTTTCATTAGGATCAATGAAGTCCTGAAACAGTTAGCAAAAATGGTATTTCCTCATTTTTCTGGTGAGAAGGTCCTGTGTTTCCCTTGAGTCTCAACATATAATCAAGTCCCATATAAGTTAAATCCCTGCTTTGAAGCCAAGTGCTCACACTGAATTCACACACTACAGGGCACTGTGCAGAATGGAATGGTCTGTGTGTGCATATGGCCCTGGCAAAGACAGGTGAACCCAAAAACACTCACCATGCTGCACGTCTGCTGACTCTGCTGCTGTCTCTTCTTCCACACTGACGTCACTACTGACATCTTCTTCATTCACTTCTGCATCATCCACACTGTCCTCTTCCTCTTCCTCCTCTTCCTCCTCTTCTTCAGAAGCATTCTTTAATGTAGCAAGGAGTTTGTGGTACCCAGAAACTTGCTCTGGCTCATTCTCTGATTCACTTTCAGAATTTGAAGTATCTGAACTTTCTGACTAAATGGAAAGTTTTAAAAACAAAAACTTATTTTTCTCATTATCACCCTTAGACACCCTAAACTAACAGGTTCAACTTTTCTAAACTAAAAATTAGTTTTCTGCAAATATACAAGCTTACCTATTTAATCAACCAAATCTACTCCAAACAGCTAATCTAGCTATGATTGTAGAAACTCTTAAAATTCTCTGAACTGCTAATGGAAAGAAAACTTTAAGTTACAAGAAAATTTAACATATGTCCCAGACATCAGATTACCTGTTTAAAGGAGCAACAGGAAACATGTACTTTCTTTAAGTTTGTTGCATGGTAACAGGACCTCTTTGTTCATTCTGCATCTGAATTGTGATTCCTTTTATTGTAAACAAAAAAGACTCTTTCTAACGGTCCTCTGGTAAGCCTTTCTAATAAGACCTAAAAGGATAGATTCTTGGGACAGTCTCAACCTCTGGCTTCTGTATTACTTATCACAATGGCATTTTTATAGATATATCCATTAAAAACTAAGTAACATTACTAACGTAATAGCTTGCATATAAAATCTGAAAGAGTAGACATGTAGTCAACCTTGATTATACCACATATAATCTTAAAGGTAAGAACCCAGACCCAACTATTATAAAGACAGTAGAGAGTATTACCAGTTGGCAAATCTGTGGTTTTGCTTCCTTTCCAGAAACCCTGAGAAGAAACAGGTAATATTAAATTCTAGCTACTAATTTGTACCAATTAGAGAAAAGTCTAATAACTTTAGAGAAAGAAGGCTGTATATGCCATTCTAAGTACATTGTAACCACAGTCATGTGAAAAACTACACATGCACTTAGAGACTGCAAAAATACGGCAAATGGACAATAGGACAATGGCAAATTTAACGATGTGACAGGAGAAACGAGTCACCGAGTAACTGGCTTTGTGGAAAAGAACATAACATAGCAAATAAAGGGCTTCGAAGTCCTCCACCAGCTTCCTTGATTAGAATGTCTGTATGCAGACAAACAGCCCTAAACGGTAAAGGAGCATTAATGCCTAGCTAAGGTAGGCGTGGTGCCGCACACCCCGTAATCCCAACACTTGGGGACGCTGAGGCAGAAGAGTCCCAAATGAGAGCCCAGCCTGGGCAACTTAAGACACTCAGTGAGATTCTGTCCCCAGAACAAATAAAAGTAAAAATAAGTTTTAAAAAAAGGGCTGCGGGTACGGGGCAATGTGAAAGCCCCCGATTCAATCCCCAGTACCTCTCCCGCATAGTAACTGATCCCGTACATTTTCTGAGGTCTCTACAATTACCAGAACGTCTGCTTCATTACCGAAAACAGATCCAAGAGAGATGTCGAAGGTCTTAACCAACTATTTTAAAACACAAAAACCAGAGGCAACCTGAGGGGGGAATCTATGATCAAAAGAAACCTTGCTCACACCAGCGTCCAGCCCGAGCTGTAGCCCCTTTGAGGGACGCCGCCGACTAGGAGCCAGAAGCGCGCCGAGTTCCCCGCACCTGTCATAGAAGGGGTGCTCCTCCCCGAAGTCCCGGAGATGCTTCTTCTGCTTTTTCGTAAGAGTACTGAGCAGTTGGCTCCGGTTCCCGCGCTTGCCCATGGCGACAGCCACCAAGCTTGCCCAGCAGCAACTTCCCGGAAGTGCTTCTGTCTACCCGCACACGTGAGCGCACGGCGGCACTTTACGGCGGAGGGGGATGCCGTAAAGCACGCTCGCTGGGCCTCGCGCGCGTGCGACAGGCTTTAGGCCTCGGGTGGTGGTTCTGCTAGGCGGCAGAGCTCTTTGCCAGCTCTGACCTGGCGTTTCCTGTGCAGGCGCTGGGAATTTTTGATACTTCATTTTGGACGTGGTATCAGCCTGCGACAATGTGTAGTAACCCAAATGTCTGAATGCAATGACTTTATATTAAAGTAATTTTCAGTAAGTTTTTATTCTTTTGTATATTGGTTCTTTTTTTCAGTTTGTATTGTTTTTCTTTTTAAATTTAATTTATTTACTTATGTATTTATTTATTTATTTTGTCTTTTTCGTTTTTATCGGTACCAGGGATCGAACTCACGACTGCCTGCTTGCAAAGCAGGTACTTATGCCGCCGAGCTAAATCCCCAGCCCCATTATGTATTTATTTTTGGTACAGGGATTTAACTTACAACCTCGCGCTTGCCAGGCAGACGCTCATACCGCTGAGCTAAATCCCCGGCCCTGTTTTTTTAAATTTTAATTTTATTGGTACACTATTTTTTTTATTTTTCACTTTATATTTTCTTAATAGATACAGGTTAGTCATACATAATGTTAGCATTCATCATAGGGAATTTGTACCTGGACATGATATATATCTTTTTTTTTTTTCTGGTTCCCCTCCAGTCCCTTCAACCCCTTTTTCTCTTATTTCCAAAAGTTTGTTCGCATATTTTTCCACCTCCCATCCTGCCTTTCCTCCTCCCCCTTCTTGTACCCTTTTTCATTAAACGTTTTCTTCCCATTTCCTCATATCTGTTCTTCATTTAGGTCCTATTTACATTTTCAGTTTCTTGCACCAGAGGAACAATCATTATTTACACATGTGTGTCTGATTTATTTCACTTAAAGTGTGATCTCAAGGTTCATCCATTTAGCTATAAATGTCTTAAGCTTATCTTTATGGCAGAGTGATACTTCATTGTAAAAAAAAAAATCTTTATACATTAATCAGTTAATGGGCATTTTAATCCTTTTAGGAAGATACTGAGAATGGAACCTCTCTTCCTACTTTTTGAGGAATCTACACGCTGAATTCCACAGTAGTTGAAGCAGCCTGCACTCCCACCAATAGTGGAGAAGGGTTCTTTTTACCCCACGGCCCTCCAGCATTTGTTATTGCTTGATTTCTTGGTAATAGCCATTCTTTCCGGGGTGAGATGGAATCTCAATGTTGTTTTAATTTGCATCTCTCAAATGACCACTGATGTTAAACACGTTTTGACATATTTATTTTCCATTTCTACTTCTTGCTCAGAGGAGTGTCTATTTATTTCAGATTCCCATTTTTGGACTGGATCTTTAAATTTGAGGCATCAAATTTTTTTTGTGTGTTCTAGATATTAGTCCTTTATCTGGGGAACAGGTGGCAAAATTTTACCCACTCTGTGTGTTGTCTCTGCTCTGTGATTTCTCTTGTCATGCAAGCACTTGTTGATAAGATGAAATCCCTCTGGTTGATTCTTTGTGGTATTTCTTGTGTGATCAGGGTTTTGTTCATAAGCTCTTTGCCTATACCAGTCTTCAAAAGTTCTACATATTTTATCTTCCAACAGATTTAGTGTTTCTGTTTTAATATTTAGATCTTTGATCCATTTTGATTTTAGTTTAGTGCATGGTGAAACATAATAGGTCTAGTTTCCATCTTTACCATGTAGAAAACCAGTTTTTCCAGCACCATTTATCAAAGAGACTATCTTCCAGTGAATGTGTTTGTCTCCTTTGTCAAAGTGGCTGAGTGTGTTTGAAGTTGTTTCTGCATCTTCTAATCTGTTCCATTGATCCAGAGATGTTTTTTTTTTTTTGTTTCCACTACTATGCTGATTTTATCACAATAGCTCTGCAATATAATTTCAGGTCAAGAATGGGGATGCCACCTGTATGGCCTTCGTTGCCTACAGTTTGTTTGCTCTTCTAAGTCTCGTCTGGTTCCAAAATAATTTTAGTTTTTTGGGGGGTTTTTTTGTTTTTTTTTTACTAAATCTGTAAGTTATGCTATTGGTATTTTGATTGAGATTGCATCAAATCCGTGTAGCTATTTTGGGAATATGGCCATTTTCACTATATCAATTCTTCATATCCAAAACAAGGGATATCATTCCATTTTCTAATATCCTTTTTGATCTTCTTTTTCAAAGTTTTGTAGTTTTCTTTTTTTTTTTTTATTTAAAGAAAAGGAAACGAAAAAAAATACATGGAGATTACAAAAAAAAAGGGTAGAAATAATACTAAATTACAGACAAACAAAAGGTAAGAAATTGCCAGTTGATAAGTTACAAATTGTCATCTTCGAGATGGCTGTTCAGGTTATAGAATTAAAGTATTTAGAATGACATTCAAAAAAGTGACCCTACAAACCATTCTGCTCTATGGCCGAACAAAAGCTCCGTAATATGATTATCAGTCCCACCTATTTGTTTTACATCTCTAAGAGGATAAGGGTAACCATATCAAAACAGAACAGAACATTTAAAAAAAAAATAAAAAACAATTTAAAGAAATACAGATTTCAAAGCAAGTCCACTGGAGATCTACCTTATCTAACTGTCTCTAGCTTCTTACAAATAGTTGTCCCTAACTTCACCCACTTTCTATACTTATTGCATATTATAGAACTAATCAAATCATTACAGGATGATGGAGTCTTTTTAGGTCCTCAAGTTCCAAATTAGGGAAGACAATACCAACTACCATCGCATCTCTCATTCTCTTTGTGATAGCCGTCCCCATCTCTGCATATGCTGAAGTTGAGCTGAAGAAACCAGTCCAGAGTCATTTTAATCAGCAAGCAATAGATTGCTAGAATTTATATTATAATGCTACAAAATAAGCCTCGGGTTTTTCAGGTCTCTTCCTCAGAGTATTTGTTCCTATCCTCTCTGTATTATAGGGAAAACCAAGTCATAACAAGACAGCGAAACAATTTCCTAGATAAACATGCAATGAATAAGACTTATAAAACTATAATATAAATGATCTTCCGTAGCTACTATGTTTTCTCTTGTTATTTTCAATAGATTTGTCGACAACACTGGCTTATTATAGTTAAACATACTATCACCTATTTTTATAAAAACTTATCTTTGACTGCATTGTAGTATTTGAGAGCTGTTACTGATTCATACCAGTATCTATATCCTTTACATCTTGTCATGCTCAGAGTAGTTTCCTCTACTTTTAGGGTTGATTCTAACACGCATACCGATTTCAAATAGGATCAGTCAAGGCCAACCAATAGTCTTATGATTCAGATACAATTAAGACAATGTAAGTAATACAGGATTTCAGCCTAAGTCAATAGGAAAGTAAGGATAGTTACCATGGTATAACCTGCTATTTTTGGTTCTAGAGGTCTGTGTCCTCAAATCTGATATGAGTGGACAGACCAGAACAAATTTAATTCAATCTAAATATGGCACTAGGACTACTGTGTCTTTTAAATCGTTATACACCATTAGCAATGACCTCTGCTTTTTTTTTAAATATAGTTTCAGAGCTGTCTCTACTAAAGACTAGCTTACCGTCTCTGCCTCATGTCTGCTACTCCACTTTTCTGCTATAATTTGTCCACCTTATTCCCTCATTCCATGGTCTGCCCCGTTCACTGAGGCCTCTCTGCCACTGTAGCTGTAATCCTGATATCTCTTCCTCTCTTTCTCTGTAATGTCCTTCAGCGTTCTCTGTAGGGTTGGATTGGTGGCCACGAACTCCCACAGTTCCTCCTTGTCTTGAAAGTATCTTATTTCTTCATTAATTTTTAGAGAGAGTTTTGATGGATATATGAACTTAGGTTGCATATTTTTTTCCTTCAGGACTTGGAATATTTCTCCCCACTCCCTTCTTGACTTAAGAGTTTGTGTTGATAAGTCTGCTGTTATTTTGATAGATTTCCCGTTATAGGTAACCTGCATCTTTTCTCTGGCTGCTTTTAATATTCTGGTTTTTTGGTGGATTTCTGGGATCTCGATTATTATATGCCTAGGCGTAGATCTGTTTTGGTTGTAGGTAGCTGGCGTTCTGTATGCTTCTTTTATCTGGATATCATTTCTTTTTGCTATACGTGGGAAATTTTGCTTTAATATCTCTGTGAATATTTTTTGTATTTCATTTTTGGATGTTCCTGCTTCCTCACTCACATTCTTTATTCTTAGGTTATGTATCTTTTTATCATCTTCCAGTTTTAGAATTGCTTCTTTCTGGTTCCTTGTTATTTTTAAGAGGCTTTTTCTTTCACGTTCATAAGCCCTAAATCTCTCTTCAAGTTTCAGAAGGTTGTCTTTAGTTTCTGTCAAGGCATTTTGCCAATATTCAATGGAGTTTTTAGTTTCCTGATATTCTCTTTGGATCTGTTTCATGTATTCTAAGTTATGCTTAAATTCTTCTTCAGATGCTTCTCTTTCTTTTCTGATTTCCTCAGTTCTTCCATCTGTGTTCTCTTGGGCGGGGCTTGTCATTTCTTTAATTAATCTCTTTATATCTTGCCTCACTTGGATCAGGAGTACATCTTTAAATTCCTCTATGAGATCATGTAAGTACTTTTTAATTTCGGCTGATGCTGTGTCGAGTAGAGGATGGTTACTGTGTTTGTTCTCTTCAGTGTTTAGTTCTCTTGGGTTTAATTTCTCCTGTTGAACAGCTGGAGATTTTTTTTTATTTTTATCTCTTGTCATGTTTCTGGTTTCTTTCAGACTGTCCTGGAGTTCTCTGGCCCTCTCCGAATTGCTTAGGGCCTTTCAGAAGCGTGCTGGCTTGAGTTTTTGCTGTCCTCCCCAATTTGCTGTTATCTGGGGTAGGCTGGGATGTAGGGGCGGTACAGTCTAGTCTCTAGCCTCTGTGTCAGTTAGTTCATAAATTAGGCTGTACTTTCTGGTTGTCACTGAGTTGTGACTATTTT